GTTGAAGCGTTCGGCCACATAAGTGATCGCGAGCATATCCTTCTCAATTTGTGCGTAACGACGTTCGGTCGGTGTCAGACCTCAACATCGAAAATACAGTTTTCCGTTTTGCAATAACATCGCTCCACTTCTATGCTGACTGCTATCGCAGTGTATCGCGAGAGGCAGAGATGGATCGAAGTAAGCGAGTACTGGAGCAGCCGCAAACAGAAACGTAGCACCATGTCTTATTCTCTGGAATACATAGTTAACTTATGTGAGAAAAAGAAGTGGACGAAGAATACTTCCTTAGATTACTCCACTAGGGACTGCTTTCGGTTTACATAAGTGGTCGCCGATGCGTACCTCCTGCTGTTTACCAACTAGATATGAAGATAGCCGAGAAAACATCGACTTTCCAATGCCTATGGCATTTAATTTGCTGAGTAACCTACGAGGAAGCACCCTATTAAAGGCTTTTTGCATAGCTAGGAACAAGAGTACAACACTGTTTTCGTTGTCTATTCCAGCCGTTGTGTGCTTTGAAACGTTGTTTGACATGTTGCGCAGGAACGACGACGCAAAAAGCCGTGCTGTGAATTGCTGATGATGTTGGCCTTGTTCAAGAGAAAAATAATTCATCTTTCATTATCCTTTCCACTGCTCTATATATGATGGATGTCTGATTGATATGACGAAAGTTTTTAAGCTCGTGAGCAGCGCCATTTTGGTGTCGCGGGATAACGAGAGAAGTTTTACATTGAGTAGGACATACTCCGTTGTTGAATGATAGTGTAAAGATATTGAGCAAAAGCAGAGGCAAGTCACTATCACAACTTTTTATTAAACAGGGAGGGATTCCATCAGCAGTTGCGCAAGTCGATGAGCATAAGCGAGAGACTTGACCAGTGATTTTTGCAATAGTAAACTTCTCTGTGCATAGACTTTCACTTTTGTGCGGCATGATAAGTATGGTGTGTCGGATAATTCATTAACCATCGATTCGACAAAAGAAACGCTGATGGCTTCACAGATATAACGTGGTGCATCGAAGTATGTTCCATCAGGAGTGGTGAAAAAAGGTTTATATACTTTTAGAATGAGAGTTCTGCCATTCCCATGCCTCATTTCTTCGATGGTCTTGGACTGCTAGAATAATAGCGCAAAGTCAGCAAACTTGAAGATCCACCGAATCTTACCCACACACACACACACACACACTATACACATTAGCTAGAGGTGGAAGACACCTCAGCTACTGTGCGCAATACCTAAAAAAAGGAAATAAAATGCAACAGGTGCAAGCCAGCTGAGCTACAGGTAACGGATGGGCTTCGTTCCGGTAAACTACCTGCCGGCTACTATGCAGCAGAAAAAGAAATAATTACCTATACAAAGTTATAAAATGCTAAATAATAGAACGTGGTTGGAGGGATGCGGTGGGACAAAGAAACTCACAGCATGAACGCCCCTGAGATCAGCTTCTAGCCATATCAACAAGTGTATCCAGCCAAACGCGTTCACCGAGACGCTCCAACTGAGGCCAGCTTCGAAGTGAGGACCTTCATTCCTCTCGACCAAGTCATCGCTTGGCCACCTCTCCTCTTCTTCCATCCACACCTCCGGCGCGCAAACAACGCACGTCGCGAGAGTCGGTGGACTGGCATGCATAACACGTGGCCGAGCCATCAGAGCCTGGTACGTGAAATAACAGTGCTGAGTGGTTCATTTCCTTTTCTGTGCCGTAAACAAGGCGTCGAACACGTTCGTTGCTCACGCGGTGTTCCCACCAAATGTGAGCTAAATTGCGAAGGCACCGATGGTCGAACGAAACTAGCCTCTTCATGTCCGCTGATCTAAGGGGCCAGGTTTCACAACCGTACAGTAGGATCGAACGTACCGCTACATTGTACACTCAGCTCTCCAGGGTAAGAGTGATGTCGCGCCGCCACCATAAGTGGCGAAGGTCAGCAAAAGCGTCTCGAGCTTTTGCTATACGGTTTGTGATCTCATCTTCAATCCCACGGGCGCTTAGACAACTTTCTAGGTAGTTGAATTTTTGAACGACTTCTAGCTGATCCCCACCAAGGGTCAGCGAAGGAGGCGGTCCAGGCCAATCTTGGTGGAACGCTTTGCACTTCGAGGGCGCGTACAAAGCCCGAAGCGGCTGACAGCCAGTGCTAATCTGTTCATTGCCGCTGGGCACCTTTGTGGCCTGTCACATATTAGGGCAATGTCGTCAGCATACTCCAAGTCTGGAAGTCGTTCACGTGGGAGCAGATCCACACCTATGTCGTGTCCTGTAAACGCGATTTCCATGACTTCGTCAATAGCGAAGTTGAAGAGAAAAGGTGACAGCGAGCACTCTAGACTCACACCACTGGAGATATTAAAGGGCGACGACAACTTGCCGTAAGCCCTCACTCTGCCTGAGCTACGCGCATATAATGCTCGGATAATATTTACATGTTTCTCAGGTACACCTTTCCTCAGTAGACAGTCCCAAAGTGCACGTCTATACACCGAATGGAATGCACCTTCGATATCGAGGAACATGACAACGGTGGGCCGCCAATACATATGACGGTGCTCCAACAACTGACGCAAAGTGAGGATGTGATCAATGTAGCCAGGACCTCGACGAAACCCGACTTGCTCTTCGCGAATATGGCTTTCACGAATGCCAGTCAGTCTGTGAAAGATGACAGAGGAAAGTAATTTGGAGGCGATGGAGATCAGACCGATTCCTCTATGGCTGCCGCATTCCGATTGTGAGCCTCCCTGAAAAATTGGGACTATGAAGGAGTGCATCCAGTCGGTTGGGACAGTTTCCTGCTCCCACAGTTTCACTAGTAACTCGTATAAATCATCCCCCGGATTTGAAGAGGGCTGGAGGTAGATCATCTGGTCCCGCGCCTTTAGATAACTTCAACAGTGCGATCTTACGTTCGACATCTGAGCTAGAGGGTGGATCCAAAGGGACAGCGCTCGGAACGGGGCGATCAGTGGCCGGCGAGAAATCTAACAATTCCGAATCTTACGAAGCTTGCTTAATGCCTCTAACTCTTTGCCATTGGATTTATGTTTAGTTTGGTGAGCACATTTTATCAGCCCTGTAGAACGGATGTAGTGAATTATACCATAAAACAGATCCGTTGGTTGTTGAGGATATGAAGAGAGAAGTTGTCCCAATTCATCGTACCAACCAGATGCTTGAAAGGGTTCCAGTTGACGGGATTGTGCAAACGGCCATGCGTAGTCTTGTCTTAGGTAGCATTTAACCAACAGATGATCGCTAACCGGAAACTCATCAAGAACGTTAAGACTGATTACCGGTATGAGCAAGGAAAACATGCGATCCAGAATATTTCACCTCTGATTGATTAGGAGGCGTGTCGCTGCAAGCAATTCATTTAGATACAGGAGTTAGGATTTCGAAATTTCAAAGGAGCAGTTCTTATAGACCTGTAATCCATGGCAGATTGAGATCAAGGTAACACCTAGATCAAAGTGGGCAATGAGTCTGGTTGAAGTAAGACGCAATTCACTTGACCAACAGAGCCATTTCTAGTATGGTTGGCTTCAAATAATACACGTCTGGATTTATGATTGACTAGGCTCTGCGGACAATGATAATCCGATTTCGATTAGAGTGAAGGATGACAAGATTACTAAGCAATGCCACGACCACCAGATTACCATGTTCCAAAGCAAACGTTTGTGGAGTAGAACAAAAGTAAGTTCTATTAACGAAATCCTTGGGATAGAAGTTTTGATGCTCACTGCACTATTAGGTTCTGACGTGCGACCTCAGTTGGGAATAAGAGCAGCTTTGAAGTAAACGTCGGCAGATCTAATCACCGCTTGCAGGCTCTTTGAATTGCGACTAGTTATAGTGGCCCTTACTTAGCACCTAAAGCGTCAACCATGGTTCGTTCCAATGTAAAAGGTGGTAGCAGCAGCAGGTCGGCACCATCAGCCGACGTTTCGTTACCACGCGACCAACAGTACCCGCGTGCGATCTAGCGGTGCTGCGAGGTCGTTCGCGTCTATGCAAGCTATAACCTGATGCCTCTGAAGTAGAAAGCAGACACATGAACCACTCGACCATCAGCTGGCCCGTATGTTTTGAAATTACATGGTGCACATAGCGCATGTCTCGATACAAAAAACGGGGAGGTAGCTGGTGTCCGAGTGAATGTGATAAAAAGTAGGTGAGCAGGAAAATTCCGAGAACAAGCTGACTGACATGTCGGTGAAAACTAAGCAGTCCAATGGGGCGATTCGTCTAGTAGCAGACGATGGAACATGGAGGGGAGCAAAGCTTGACGCTGTACTAGATCAGCCTAGCCAAATTAGGCAGGCAAATGCAACGGCACAGGATAGGAACTCTACACTTTGGTAGATTGTGACCGTGGTCCGCGACAGACTCCGAAGATGAAAAATTACTAATCTCTCCAATCGCGGATCCTCACACCCAGCACAGGAGACACAGTACCCGCGACGAGCAGTATGCATCCATCATCAAGGTGCTGTTGCGTGTCGACGGGGTTAATGAAGGAACTCGAAGATGGCCAAGATACCCGACGCCATAAACCAAATATGGATCGCAGGACGAGTGGGGCACTACTAATGAGTATTATACCATAAAAACGTGAGTCAAATAAAGGAGGAGGTTGTGCAGAATCGCAGATGCATGTTGAAGAGTGAGAAATGATTTGGACGAGAAAAGATTTCGAATCCAGAGGAGAGTATCAGTGCAAGAGCAGATTCTTTGAAACACGAATGAAGAGGCAGGTAAATTGGGCATACATAAAACCTGTTCTATGACAGTTAATGCAATAAAGACAGTTGAGTTCAGGAACCTTGAGATATAAAAATGATTCATGAGGTAATACTGATCGCATTGCTTCGGGTAATTACATGAATAGAATAAACTTCGCAAACACGTTATGAAACGATACTTATAAGCATTCTAATGGGTGAAATTCTGTAGCTCACAAAATCGAATTCTAGCAGGCTTACATTTCGCTAACTGGGGAAAGGGCGTGGCGACCAGCCAAAGAGTTTGAGAAATATTTCGTGCATGCATGTGGTCCAAAAGATGAGCCGAAGTCTCCAACCTCCTTCGCATGTGTCAGTGGGCTCTGCTGATGCGAAAGCTGGTGGGAAAGGTGAAGGGAATCCCCATTGGTGGAATTCCCACAGGACATAACTTCGATGTCAGATCCTGTGGTGGTCGTTTCCAGGTCCAACTCTGCATCGGTGCGTGGTGTTTTGTGGTGTGCGATGTTACCGAGTGTGCACGTCTTCAGGCATGTCAAATCAGTCTCGGAGCAAGATCGATCGAGATGGGTGGACTCTAGAGTGACAGTTGAAACAGTTTCAATTGAAGGACTAGATGAAGATACGGGAATCCCCTTTGGAGAAGTGGGAATGGAAGTCGCTGACAACGAGATCACATCGGGTCGAAGTGCGGGGTGTGTGGTTGGGATTCGGAGAGGGGTCTGTGAAATGAAAACAACTACGGCTGAAGGATACGACAGTCGCCAGTAGTAAGAGAGAACGGTAATTGAATGGTGACATTAAGTGGTAGATATATAAAGTTGACAAATCCATGTTAGCAGGAAGTATGGATAGCATTTAAAACCAGTCAATGCGGTGCAAACTGACAGTACAATTGTAAACAGTCGAAAATATCACTAACTCCGGTTGTCAGATCATCGTGGTGGTACGCTGAATGCGACTGCAATGACACGCGAGATCGTGTGCGATCGTGTAAGCTGAGACCACTTAAGCTATCTTCCACTTACGTTTGGCGCCGGCAGTCGCACTTATGTCATCATCGCCATCCTCAACAGCAATACCCCAGCCATGTGAACTGATGCTTCGCTGTCATACAAATATAACTACCTATGGTGCGAAGAATAATAAGAAGGAGAGATGAGGGATTTACAGGAAAACCTTAATGCCCCAAGCGAACATTCAGGGTGAAGGCGGCTAGAATATTGTCGAAAACACACTATCACGAGCGCCTCCCTTCTCTCTTTTCCACCTTTTACTCTTACTCCCATCCCGACTCCCACTACTAACCTCCCTTCTATAGTTCCCAGCTTAATTGACAGCAACCGAAGTGCCACTGGAGTAGAACCATCTGCAGCCACCATCCCACCGCACCAATCGGACACCTATCGGCAAAAGTCCCTTATAAGATTATGCTACCCCGTTTTCATGGCGACATTCAACGTTCGCACTCTAAGACAAACAGGTCAACAGGCTGCACTCGCAAGCACCTTGGACACACTGGGTATTGATGTGTTGTGTGTCCGAAACTAGGATCAATGACCCTAACGGGGTTATTGAATTGACTGCACCCGGCTTATCCTCTCGTTATTGGTTGCACGCATCCGGAGACGCCGATGCGGCACTCACCGGTCAAGCTGGTGTAGGTATCATTCTAAGCTCCAAGGCCGAGTCATCGTTGGTTGATTGGATTCCGGTGAACAGCCGTTTATGTGCAGCACGTTTGACGACATCAGCTAAGGTTGATTCACGAAGTAGTGCAAAACGCTGTCTGTTTGTGATTTCCGCTTATGCTCCCACCGACTGCAGTTCAGATGTTGTCAAGGACACGTTCTATGACGAACTGAACGCGCTACTACGCAGTGCTACTAGTTCAGATAATACAGTACTTGTAAGGGATATGAACGCACAAGTAAGGCGTCTGAGCTCTTCAGAAGCTCAGTTGGGTGGTAATTGTGGGCTTAACTCATCATCATCATCATCATTACACGTTAGTTGGAGGTGGAAAACACCACAGCTATTGTGCCGCAATACAAAAGGCAAGAAAAGAAAAAAACAAACAAACAGTGGCACGCCCGCTGAGTCTCCAGTAACGGATGGACATCGTTCCGGAGAGCTAACAGTTGGCTGCCGTAAAAGAGTCATATTATGCCTAACGATTGAGATCGTGATTGGAGGGGGATGCTAAACAGGAGGGGGATGGACAAAGGAACTCACAACACAAACGCCATTGGGGCCGGCTCCTAGCCATATCAGCAAGTGTGTCCAGCCAAACCTGTTCACCGTCCTTAGGACCCCAGCCAGGCAGTCGGGATGCACCAACCGACGCCAACTTCGAAGTGAGGGTTTTCATTTCTCGCGACCAAGTCATCACTTGGCCTCCGAACGGACTGACAACGGTGAGTGTCTGCTGCAACAGTGCGCGGAGCACCAGTTGTTTCTTAGTAGCACCGCTATTAGACACAGTGGGAGCCGAAGTGCCACCTGGCGGCCTTCTTTAGCTGGCCAGGGATGGACCCAAATTGACCACATAGCCATAAGTTACAGGTGGCGTAGTTCGATCCTGGATTGCCTGTCATACTGGAGTACCTGCGTCGACTCTGATCATGCCTTGGTACGCTGTCGTTTCTCCATGAACTTTACTTGGAGGCGCACCAAACCTCTCCCGCGATCGGCAACTGAGAAACTGACTCAGCACTCGGTCAAGCAAGCCTATCAAGACGCACTGCATACCGAACTCTCGCTGTCTTGCCCTAATGACACTGAGCTTCAGTGGAATAGGATTTCGGCCGCCATGCACGACGCAGGAGCATCTGCATGTGGCACTATCAATCGTCACTGTACCAGTCACTGGATATCCGAGAGGTCGGTGAACCTACTGGAATCCAGAAGTAACCTCCCGACGGGTTCTAAGCACAATCTGACTAGATGGACTATTAGACGTGAACAAAAGCAGAGCCTACGTGCTGACAAGGAAGCCTGGTGGACCAGTCGGGCTCAAGAAATGGAGGAGGCAGAAGCAGTAGGCAATTACCGCAAGCTCTTCCAGCTAATCCGCACCACTGGTCCCAGGAAACCAGGTGTCAGTGAGACAATCAGAGACAGCGCGAGAGCATTGATACACAATAAGGAGCGCCGTATGGCTCGTTGGGCGGAACACTTCCAAGATCAGTTCGGCTGGCCCCTGCTCCCGGACATCTTCCTACTCAGGTGATGCAGGACGTGCCATGGACGGTTAGCTTAGAGCCTCCGTCGGAGGTCGAGGTCCGAAACGCGATATCAGCCCTCAATCGTTTTCGTGCCGCTGGCCCGGATTCCTTCCCACCTGCACTATTTAAGGATGGAGGTGAGGTCCTCTACAAAGCACTGACCTCCTTATTCGAATGTGTCCCGGCTAATTGGAGCGAATCGATTATAGTGGCAATATACAAGAAGGGCAGTCGTACAGATTGTTTTAACCACAGGGGTATTAGCCTAACGAAAGTTGTGCAAAAATATTGGCCACGAATATCGTTCGTCGCCTCCCTGCGGAACGGGAATCTCGGAGTAGGGAAGAGCAGGCAGGTTTTCGTCCAGGACGTGGCTGTATATACCATAAATTCACTTCGCGAGAGGTGCTAGAGCAGCGACACACATACCGCACACCGACAATAGCTGTGTTCCTCGATTTCAAGAGTGCGTTCGATTCAGTCGATCAACACATTCTGTTCGAAATACTTGCGCGGAAAGGTGTTCCCACGAAATATATGAACATCCTTCGTGCTCTATACTCGAACACTACAGGCCGCGTCAGGGTCTACGGTGTCCTGTCGAATAGCTTTCCGACCACAAGTGGCGTTCGTCATGGTTGTCCGATCTCCCCATTTTTGTTCAATTTCGTCGTGGATTCTATCATGAAGTGTTCCATTTGGGAATCACACGATGTAGGCATCGAAGTGCTGCCTGGTGAAAGGTTAGTTGATCTAGATTATACGGACGATATCGTCTTGCTTTTCGACAACGTTGCGACAGCCCAATCAACCCTGAATAGCCTGTCCAGAGTGGTCCCATTATTTTGTATGCGCTTCGCACCTTCAAAGTGCAAAGTGTTGCTGCAAGACCACCAGCCACTTGATGACCTCTTGACGCTTGCTAACGAGGAACTCGAGGTGGTTGATAATTTCCCTTATCATGGCAGCTGCATCAGTAATGATGGGCGCATAGAAACTGACGTCAGCTCACGCATTGCAAAAGCCTGAGCTACCTTCTTGAACCTGCGGCATCTTTGGTGACAGAAGGGAGTTTCCCTCCGTCTGAAAGGCCGTGTATACAAGGCCACAGTTAGGACCGTTCTGCTCTATGGTAGTGAGACTTGGCCCATTCGGTCTGAATATTTGAAGCGCCTTCAAGTCTTTGATCCTCGTTATCTGCGAAGCATTGCTGGAGTCGGATGGCACCAGCGTGTCCGCAATCATGATGTGCGTAGGCGAGTACTAGGTGGTGATAATCATGCTAGCTCCCTTGAATAACAGATAGCACTGAACAAGTTGCGTTGGCTCGGGCATGTGCTACGTGTGCCTGGTCACTGCTTACCTAGAAGGGCCTTGTTTTGTCTGCCAGGTGTAGGGTGGCGCAAGGCTCGCGGTGAACAGAAGTAAACTTGGCAGCGGGAAATGAAGTCACTGACGACTAAACTGAGTGCCGTTGGTCCGTCTCGTCTTCCGGGATGGAGTCCACGTGACTCGCCTTGTGCTTGGCTCGAGACTTTACAGGACATGGCTCGCAACCGACACCAGTGGCGCGTCTGCTGCCGTCTCCTAATCGGATTGTCTGTTTAAAGCGTGTTTGGTGCTGAGTTATCTGCGGGGTAATGGCTGATTATGACGCGTGGCAGTGAAAGCCGCAAGGAAGCTGTATCGCCGATGCCGCCTTGTGTTTGCACGATAGCCAGCTGTTTCTGACGGTATGTTGTCTACATAAGGTGTAGGCGCCTTGACCCTGAATGTCTGCTTAGGGCATTAAGATTTTCAGATAAGTTCCCCTTCTCTCCCTCTTCTTATTCTTTATTCCATAGGTCCTCATGGTTGCATGGCAGCGAAGCATCAGTTCGAATGGCTGATGTACTGCTGTTGATGATGATGATCACGAGCAGCTGGTTATTGTGCAAAGTTAAGGCGATTTAGGCGAGACAGCTTCCTTGCGGCTTTCGCTGTCCCGCGTCATAATTAGCCATTACTACGCAGATGACTTAGTATCAAACACACTTTAAAAGACTGAAAAAATAATCAGAAATAAAAGACAGTTGGGAGAACAGGCTAGTTTTCGGTGGTTCACATCAGGCACTTGCACCAAAAGAATAGGAATAAAACTAACACTCTAAACAGACAGTCCGACTAGGAGAAGGCAGCAGACGTGCCACTGGTGTCGACTGGGAGCCATACCCTGCAAAATCTCGAGCCAAACACAGGGCGAGACGGACTGATAGCACCAGGTTTGTTTGTCAATGTCTTTATTTCACGTTGTCAAGTCAACGTTTGTCTAACTCGTCTTGCGCCACCCTACATCTAGCAAACAAGGCAAGGCTTTCCTCGGTAACTGGTGACCGGGCATACGTAGTACGTGCCCTAGCCAACGCAACTTATTCAGTGCTATATGTTGTTCTAAGGAACAAGCATGATTATCACTACCTAGCACTCCCCTCGGCATATCAGCGTTGCGGACACATTAGTACCACCCGACATCAGCAATGTTCCGCAGACAGCGATGATTAAAGACTTGAAAGCGCTCAGATCTTCAGATCGAAGGGGCTAAGTCTCACTCTTATAGAATAGGACGACAATTACTGTGGCCTTGTAAACACGGTCTTTCAGACGGAGAAAAACCCCATTCTGTCGCAAAAGGTGTCGCATATTCGAGAAGACAGTCCTGGCTTTTGCAATATGTAAACTGACTTCAGTTTCTATGCACCAATCGTTGCTGATGCAGCTGCCAAGGTAAGCGAAATGATCAACCAACTCGAGTTCCTCACTAACAGTGGTCAAGGGGTCATCAAGTGACTGGTTCTGCTTCAGCAACACTGCACATTGAAGGTGTGAAGCGCATACCAAATAATGGGACCACTCTGGACAGGCTATTCAGGGTTGATTGGGCCGCCGTAACATTGTCGAAAAGCAAGAGGATATTGTCCGCAAAATAAAGATTACTAACCTTTCACCAAGCAGGACCTCAACGCCTACTTCGTGGGATTTTACAAGTGAACATTCCAGGATAGAATCCACGACGAAATTGAACAAAAATAGGGGAAATCGGACAACCATGACGAACGCCACTTGGGGTCAGAAAGCTATCCGATAGGCCACCGTAGACCCTGACGCGGCCTGAAGAGTTGGAGTATAGAGCAGGTAAGATGTTCATATATTTCGTGGGGACACCTTTCCGAGCAAGTATTTCGAACAGAATGTGTTGATCGACTGAATCGAACGCACTTTTGAAGTCCAGGAACACCGTTATTGTCGGTCTGCGATATGCGTGGCGTTACTCTAGCAAGTGACGCAGAGTGAATATATGGTCTGTACATCCACGTGACCCATCTTGTGTTTGGCTCGAGACGGTAAAGGGCTCGCAGTTGGCACCAGTCGCGAATCGCTGTTATCTGGTAGTCATCCTGCCTGTTTAAAGTATGTTTGGGACTGAGCAACCTGAGTGGTAATGACTGATTATGACGCGGAGCAGTCAAAATCGATGCCACGTAAGCTGCGCACGATAGCCAACGGTTTGTGACGGTAAGTTGTTGGCAAGGTGTAGGCGCCTTGACCCTGTATGTTTGTCTAGGACATTTAAGTTTTACACTCGGTCCCGCTTCTCCGCTCTCGTAAATCTTCACTCCGTAGACTGGAGTATCATCATCATTATACATGTTAGCTAAAGGTGTAAAACACCTCAGCTACTGTTCCGTAATACATAAATAAATAATAAATGCCAGCTGAGCTACCAGCAACGGATGGGCATCGTTCCGGAAAGCTAGCAGCCGGCTACTAGGATGTGGTAAACTACTGATGTAAAGAAATTTCATTCTCGACTAAGCACAGGCACGATGAAGATGAACAACCCGGCGTTGGCAATTCGAGAGATGTTTAGAAAGCAAAACCTCACTCCTATGTAGGTTTTCACACCGTAGTAGAGTCCATATTCGCGTGTACGCGCATATGAGTGAATGGTAACGAAGAACTAGTATAATCAATAATGTAATGCCGATTATCTTTTGATTAGAAGTATGCCTGAACGTCGTATCGACGTTTAGCTACCACGCGACTACCACCAGTCGTGTGCGTGCTAGGGATAATGCGAATTAGCTCGCACCCAAGCAGAATCGAACCACAGACCTGTGAATTACAAGCTACGTGTCTGAACCATTCGACCACCGGCCGGATCACAGGATAAGAGAACCTCTGATCCACAGTAAGGTTCGGTATGGTGGAAATATGAACCAATGAAATAGTAGTAAGGGCAAAGTGAAACGGCTGGAGTGGATTCAGTCCGAAGGACGTGACAACGGGATGAGTTGCGGCACAGAGCCAACTACAATTCACGAACTGTAAAACAAAGTAAATAGTAAAGCGGATCAAAAACTACAGGATGCTGCAAGATAACAGATAACGAGTGAGCGTTCGGAGTACATCGGCCAAGAACTAATTAAAAACAACGTGTTGGCGCACGAGGAAGTTTGTACGAAAGCTGCTGTCTCAACGGGGATGAAGGAATGTAGTTGCACTTCCAGGTAACTGGACTTGGTCAGCATAATTTCAAAGTGGAACCCAACCAAGGATATAAACAAGCGTAATGACAAAAATGCACTGCAATCGTGGTTGCCGCATCGGAGAAGAGGAAAAGGAGGGGTGACAGTTGCCACAGGGAGTGAAGCAGGAGCAGATAAGACCTGTAAACAGCGCACACAATTAAGTACCCGTATACGAACTCACTTCTGTCAGTAAAAAATCGGATTTCGATGCAGATCTATCCGCGCAATCCTTTGTATTTGGACTGATCGGATCTAACTGCATACGAGTGTCTGAAAAGGAAACAGACCATCGATAGTGAATGGAAGGAAGAGATGGAAGCTTCCGGCTCACGGTCCATCTGCTAAACTAGCGCTGCCACGGATGATAATTTGTTGCGAGATCATTTCACAAAACACAATTAACCGAAACCGAAGTTTTTGTTAAACTGATTAATCAGAAAGAAGGTTAATCACAATTCAAATAGAAACAACAGATGAATAAATAAGTTGGAAAATACAAAAGCTAACATTTTCCAAAACACGACAAGAATGATGTCGCGGTACTGAGGCAAAACAATAGATTGACAGTTGCCCTAAAGATGCTGATTCATGAGGTGCCGAAAAAATGAAAACCCTCACCCGAGGGAAAACAATATATCAAAATCCGTGATATTTATGATAATAGGCAGCATCACTCAATGACGACAGGAACGAGCTTACTCTGAAAAAGTCGCCACTCACCTCTTCTCTCTCATCATACGACCAATACAGCTCGTCCGCTTATTGCCTAATCATCCGAGGTGGGGAGCAAAAGATCGAACGGGTCCAACACAACGCTACCAGGCTCGTCTCGCCTTCTCCAGGCTGAGGCATTTATGGCGCCGCCATGACACCCATCTCTCCATCAAAGAGAGGGTTTATAGTGCGACCGTCCGCGCTGTACTGTTGTACGGTAGCGAGATTTGGCCTGCTCGTACCGATGACATGCACCGACTGTCTGTCCTTGTGAATGGTGGCTTACAGTCCATCGCCCGTGTGTGGTGGCTGCACCACGTAACCAACGTTGAAGTCAGATAGCGTGTTTTGGGTGGAAGCAGCCACGTTCTCGACGCGCTTGTCCCGCTGCGCCAACCACGATGACTAGGACATGTACTGCGTTTTTCCGTTCAGCGTCTTCCGCGTCGTGCCTTGTTCGCAGTAGCTAGACAGGGCGGGAGGAGGCGGCGTGGTGGACAGCCTATAAATTAGAGAACCAGGATGAAAAAGCTGACAAGACAGCTGGCCTCGGTTGGTTTTTCTCGACTCTCTGGATGGAGTCCCAAAGACGCTGATTGCCCCTGGTTGGAAGCCTTTGAAGTCATGGTTCAAAACCGAATTCAGTGACAGTCGTGTATCTCTGCTTGTTGCGGTGATTCCCCTTCCGTCTCTTAAGAAAAACACCCAAAGAACTCAAAAACGGTGAGTGAGAAAATGGACAACAAAACGCTTGTTTTTCTTTCTTCCTTTATTCTAATTCCGTTTAACTATTTCACCATGGTTCCGGTCGCACAATATCTGTACACAGATTGTGATCCGAGTAAAGTAGAGAAGTATAGGCCGATCTGTTTGACTTCAATTTTAACCAAAGTTCTGGATAAAGTTGTGAAAGAGTGTCTGCTGTCATTCTTCGAATCGATGGACGTGTTGACGCCAACGCGAAACGGCTTCATGAAAGGGCGATCCTGCATCCCCAACTTGATGTACGCAAACCATCAGTGGGTCCGAGCTCTCAAAGAACGGAAGGATGTTGACGTGGTGTACATTCACATTCGTAAGGCGTTTGACAGAGTGAACCACGACGTACTCCGTCGTAAATTGAGGACCTACGGAATCGGTGGCGCGCTACTTCACTGGTTACACGAGTATATTGTGGGGCAAAAGTTTAAAGTACAGGTTAATAACTGCCTGACAGACTGGTTCCCATCGACCAGTGGCGTGCCTCAAGAAACTGTAGTTGGGCCAGTATTATTTCATATTCATATCAACGATCTACTGCAGCAGCTTCAGTCACCATGAGCCCTGTTTGCAGATGGTCTGAAAAGCTGGAGGATCATTGAGAACCAGGACGACTACACTCGCCTCCAGCATGACTTAGATCGACTGTCAACGTTGTCCATCGAAATGCAACTCCCTCTTAACGCAAGCAAGTCAGAGTTTATCAGTATCACCAGACGTGCAGCCACTAGATCATATACCTTGGGCAGCTAGTTACTTCACCTTAACGCATGTCTCAGAGACTTAGGAGTGCTCTTTCGACATGATATGAGATCACTGGAAAATACAGAGAAATTGTACCGTGCGGGACTTCGTAAGCTCTGGGCATTACGACGCAGTTACTCCACATGGTCAGAAGAAACCGTCCCTCGCCTATTCACCTCGCTCATTAGACCATTCCTTGAATACGGCGCCAAAGCTTACTATGTGATAACCCAGTGACAAACTGAAAAGCTGGAGAAAATACAGCACATCGCAACTAGAATGATTCCCAGTCTACGAAAACTTCCGTATAAAAAAGTTGTGAAATGCTGGGACTCTACACACTATCTTACCGCCGAGTACTAACACTTGAACCACTTCCCCATACTGCGGCCAAAATTTCACTTGCGAGAACTCTGTAACACCTAATGACATTGTTACAAACCCAGGGTCCCCAGCGTGAACAAGGTATCACATCATCTTTGTATAGAACGAAGAATCGTAAACTTATGGAATACACAACCAGAAAGACTAATGAGGCCGATTCTGTGAAATGTTGCAAAACACGTATCGATGATTGTTTCCGAAACTTGTGCTTTTGTGAAACGGTGAAGATACAATGCAAAAGAATACATCCTTTACCCGGAAATAATGACATCAATACGAATTCCTAACCGAACAAGGATAAAGGATTAATTGACCAAACACTATCGCTGACGATTCGCAATTAAATGTTTTTGATTTGTTACAATTCGATGGAATTGTACAGAAACTTTTCTACTTAATCTTAGATACAGTATCAGTTCCAGTTTACGAAGATTACCGCGTAATAAGATCGGTGTGAGAAACATAGACGTTGTCCTATCGTCGGCTGCGGGTCGTTCCCATTGTGAATTTCATATTAACGCCATCGCTCCAACTGCCAACGCCATGCAGCACATGCGGACACAAGTAAAACCTTGTGGTGCAAGATATAAAACGAGTTCCTCACCCACTGTGCTACGAACGAAGAGTGGCAAATGTTTGCAACAGTCTGTCAGAAGAAGTCGTGGAGGCCAAATCTGTGCACCAGCTTAAAGCTTTGCTGGATTCACACTTCACCACCATTCGATTCACAGAACGATTACACATTGGTAATGGCATCTTATGTATTTGAGCTCAGTGAAACTGTCAGATATATTAAAAGCTACAGAAGAACTTGAAGAAGAATTCAACTATTACAGGTAGCAGATACCTTTTAATAACATTTTGGATTATGTTCCGATGTAGCTGTACAAATGTAAACTTCTATTTGCGCCCACAATACAGTCTTTAAAACGCAGATGTCTCAGGTGTGAGATAACAAGGCATAAGGTACATGAATAGGGCAAAATCCCAAGCCGAAAAACGCGGGGAAAAATGGACAACATTTAGTTGCTGGATGAAATTAAATGCAGCTAACCTGTATTAGGTCAGGCGAAAGTGTTTCAGATTATGGCTGCGATAAGGGTAGGTCACGACGGTGACTGAATACAAGACAGCACCGCATTCGCCAGCGCAAAACATGCGGAACCGAAAACAAGCAGGAGGGCCGAGTATAGCGACATATCTTAGGTGATACATAGAGAGAAATGAATGTATATGACATGATGGACGGGAGATAAGGTGCCGTAAAACATGAATACGTCGTTAAGAGATAACGTGGCCACGTCGTAGTAGGTCGGACATGAAAAGTATTGACTAGAAGTGAGGCAAAAGAGTATAATGTGTGAGAATAATAGCGAAACGACTAGTAAACTCTGCAATGTCAGATGTTAGTCGCAGAGCAAAAAGAATGAAATCAGATAGGATTTGCTAGACATACCGTCGTCCGGAAAAAATGCATCATTGTTAACGAAAGAGGAATGAGTTACATCCAGCCCATCAAAAGTGCGCCGAGGTTCTTCTAGATGTTTCGATTCTGCGAGTAGTGAAGCTGGTGGAGTGATGTCACTATTTAGCTCGATGTCTAAAACAGCATCGATCTTTTGTTGAGCGTTTTTCAAGGCGGTGAAAGCCAATTTGGACAAACTTCCAGCCTTCTCGAAAGTGTTTTTCCAATCCATTTGGTAAAGTGCTAGAAAAACATTGGAAAATGTTAACTTTAAAAGATTAAAAATTAGGGCTGAAGAGATTGTTGTGCGTATTGTCAAAGTTGTGCGATTTTCTGAGCAGCAAATCAACTGCAGCTGCGGCGAAATAATAGGTTGTCGGCTTGGTCGTGGTGCGCAACGATATGCTGCATTGATAAGGGAATTGGTTATTGCGGGTGGGGGTATCAAAAGACCTCAGGCGCCTTAGGTGGTTTCAATCGTACCTGATATGAAAGCGCAGTGGACAATGTAAATGTCTGCCTACTTGTGTTAGGCAGCAACGATATGATACCGAATTGCATAGCCCGTTGGACCTGAACGGCCAAAATTCCTGGAAGAAAGCGGTGATTCACGTAGGGGTGTGGGGTCTGTTGAAGGAGTATGCAGTTGGATGTAGGTGCAAAGTGATTGGTTGGCAATGAGGTAAAAGAGCAGGATGTCAGTTGAGATATACGATACAGCAAGCGCATGTGTTCATCCAAACTTCGAAATCAGACAAAGCGATAGCTGACGGATTCATCCGATATGACGCATGAGAGTTGAGATGGCTGCTGCCTGTCATTGCGGCCTCCAAAGGACAACCAAAGGGCGCTTGCATAAAAAGAGGGACCATGAGTGCTTGCGCTGCCCCACTTACAGCTCCATCTGCACACCCCAAATCTACTGTAAACTCGAAGGAATTAGACTGGGAAGCATATGGATGGGGTTGATAGCACGCTTAAATAAGAATAACCACATCCAGTTGGCAAAATTAGCCTTTAAGAATGCAAAATACTGGTAGTTTTGAAAACGTGAAACCAGTGGTGAGCAATGGTTTGCAATCATTAATTGTCAGACATTTACGATTATATGTAAAAGCGAAACAATTAAAATGGACTTAGTTCGAAGTACATAGGCCACATGCGAATCAGTGTGGGAGTCTAACATGCGAACTGCGCCTTAACAATTCGGCCGGTGGTCGAGAGGATTACACGCCTGCCTTGTAATCCGAAAGTTATCAGTTCGAAACCGCTTAGAAGCGAGTGACCCAGCCCTCGGGCGATTGGTGTTGGTCATGTAGCAGCGAAGCGTTGGTACGGCGTACTGCTGGTGCTTTCTACACCTTAACAGGTTAAATGAGTGTTACGGTTTTGCCTACAACAACTGAACCCAGAGTATTCCGTTTCATTGACCATGGAATCTGAAGAGCCTGACAGAGGTTCCTCTGAAAGTCCAAGGAAGAGCAAAACAACAAAGGTAAACTGCTTCGGCTGTCGAATGTGTAGGAAGGTGCGGATGAACTTTAAACAAAAGCCGAATGTCCTGCTCTTGGATACACCTAATGTACATTGTCGACAGTAAATCAAAAGGGGCTATTGTTATTGGTTTGTTTACTATACATATTAGGCCACCTCTCAGTTAGAAGATAATTCCGCACTGATTTGTTATTGAAGGATATTTGTTCACCGAATATCTAGAAAATAGTTACCATTTAGTATACAATGACAGAGAATTTTCCCACTTACTAGTTTTACTTAGCCTACCATTTCCATTTTTCACTTATTCACCCTGACAATGATTTGTTAAACTTGTTTCGTATTCTTCCTCATGCGAAAATTCGTTTATTCACATCCACTTCTAGGATACATTGTACTGGATCAAAGGAGTAGGCTTATACTTGAGAAAGCTCGAAAAGTTGCGATTCCTAGCTGATTCATGAAAAGACCAAACGTAGCCTCTCTGTACTGTCAATCCACAATCAGGTGGTGCCGAAATGCATGGTCCGTTGAACCTGAACTGCCAAAATTCCTGGAGGATATCAGTAACTCGCCTAGGCGTGTGAAGCGGTTACAAAAGACCCAAACCAGTACACTTAGTTAGAAACTCGTCGGAAATCGGAAAGAAAGCAGTAAAAACGGAGGCGGATTTTCAAGCTCTAGAGATATGCTGCTTGGTGAAGCTGGCTGACAGTATTAATACGTCGATAATAAAATGGTTGCAAACAGAAGATAGTAGTTTCCAAAATAAGCGCATCACATAGTAAGGACATGCGTTTAAACGCACGGCGAGCTTACATCGTTCAATAGGGAATTGACGCAACTGCACGTTGCTCAATATCAAGTGGGATCAGAGCAATAGGTTAATCCTGTGTAATCTTCCTCAACGGATCGTCGAACAAGAAGTTGATACTACGAGCTAAAATATGGATGCTTTCAAAACAAAAATGCGTCACATCTTGGGCAATCAATTAAGGTGCATGTATCCTGAATCAGCAGTTGATACTGAGCCGGTTGTGTGAATGAGAAAGTAAAAATGGTAAACGCATAAAGAAGACAACCATAACTAAATAATTATAACACCAAAATGTGGAGAATAAAAAAGAGCAAACTGCAAGCTGGAGATAGGTTGGGAGAAAGAGGTTTTGTGTTGCCACTCAATAGTATCGAGCTGACGCACAAAAGCGCTAATCGTAGATTACCTAACCACACGCCTCGGAAGTGTTTTGGTGCCTGATAATTCAGCGCGATAGAAGGGTCTCCGTCGTAAGCTAAGCAAAGTGCGGTTTGTATAGATTCAATGGTGGCCACGGTGACAGTTTAACTTCGCTGGAATAAAAATCCAAGGCAAGTCCGGGTCAATCTTTCCCGATGAAACCCACCATAGTTCACTAAGGAGATTCCCAGTCTAATCAAATGTTTGGGAACGTCTGTTCCTGCAAACCCTATACAAATCTGGTGCGCACTTGCAAAACCCTCTCTAGTTGCAATCCGTCCCGGAAAAGACGCAGTGGACAAGCCAGTATAACGCATTCCAAGTGGAGCCGGGAATAACCTTAACAACATATCAGCCGTTTAGACTCCGAGAGAGCGGCGAATAACCCACATTATACGGAATGCTCTACAAGAAACCGTCCAAATGTTATCAGTGAAAGAATAATGGGTGAGTCTAAGGACGCCAAGGACACGGCTAGGAGACAACCGGAATTCCACTTTAGCCAACTAAGTATTTCGTGAGGGAGTAGCCACTCCGATACGGAAGACAAGGCACTTTGACTGGTTTATGAGCAACGACCATAATGCGCATGAATGCCAAGAGTTATCCAATGCACTTTGAATTGTCTCGGAACCCCCAGAGTTTAACATATCAACAAATACTGAGCACTGTACAAACGAACAAAAATGGTCCTAGCACCGTACTGCGAATTCCTACTTAAACAAAAGGCTACGCCACATGCGTAAACACCGTACTCTCCTCTACAGAAAAGCAGATACTTATATAAAGGCGCGAGCAGATCATCCACAAGACCTCAACTTTAATGAGGCATAGATGAAGGGTGGTGACAAAAACTTTCGAAAAGTTCACATACAGCACTTCTCTCGCGTGAATGCAGTGTACGACATCCGCCCAGCTGTCACGAGCGACTAGCACAGTAACCAGACACGAAAACCCTTGCGAAATCCGTCTTGAGCAATACTCGGAAGTCGATGGAAGAGAAGTAACGCCAGTAATTTTGTCACCACGGGCGCTAGGCTAATACCCTTATGGATAGCAAATTCAGTGCGAATGCCCTTCTTGCAGGTTGCCACTGATCGATTCACGCCAGTGGGTTGGGATAGTCTCGTCCTTCCAGACCTGTTCGAACAGGTGGGTCAATGTTTTGTAAAGGATCTCACTACCGTCATTAAATAGCGCGGGAGCAAAGGAATCTGGGCCAGTAGCTCGAAAACGATTAAGCGGTGTGATCGCGGTGTGCTTTTGACAGAGCTTCTAAACTAATCCGCCGTTGCTCAGCCTGCACCGTTTGAACAGGATGAGCTCCAGCAGCATGGTACCAACTGAAATGCTCTCAAAAGCGCTTCACTCAATGAGTCCAAATGCGTTCATTATTGTGAATTAGAGAACCCATGTTGTCTCTGACTGCGGCTTCGGCGGTTGCGTCTCCAGATATGCACAATGCGAAAATGCCGGCGCAATTCGCAGACGGTGAAAGCAGCAGTAGCGTCGTGCTAGAGTTCCGTAATTGGGTTCCAGTGAGACACCAGACATAAAGTCCCAAGGCTACTTGTAGATAAAAGGCATCAGCAGTACACCGATACGCAGTACCGATGCTTCGCTGCACCGCCACCACCACCAGTTGCACACGGGCTAAGGATAGTGCGAAGGTTGCTCGGTATCGGTACGCAGGCTCGAACCCACGCCCTCGGATTACAAGACAAGCTTGTGATCCTTAAGACTACCGGCCAGTAGGGCTGTTTGTGATCCGATCATAATCAGCGTCCGGACGTTAAAGCTTGCCAGTTTGAAATGGGAGCGGGGCACTGGAAAAGGCTGGGTGGTACTACTTGGCAGTGCACTCTCGGAACAAAATTCCTGATACGTATGGCAAGAACACTCGCTGGTTTGCCGAACAACCTCCATATAGTGCCAACTGGGTAGTTCGGGTTTCTCCTGTTCCAGCAAATGGTTCGGCAACGGTGTTCCAAGACGTGGTGGGTGAACGCCTGGCAAGCGGTCTCCCTATAAGAAACCACGAACGTCAGTTTAACAACACAGACATGGCGGATGTGGCTCGCCACTAAATAAAGTCACAGCCCCTTGCTACACTCCGATGGAACATTTCACCCTAGCAACCTTGATGCTGAAATTGTGGGGAGGATTAAGCAACCGTTTGGTGACCTACCAAACGAAAGGCGTATTAACTGAGCAACCAGTCACCGGCTTCCAACGGGCGTGATGTCTTGAATGCGCTCCGCGCTCTTGCGGACAGTATCCTCAACCAAAATCTAGGAGTGGTGTTTACAAAATCAACATCTAACCTCGGCTTCGACAACCGAGTAGTATCGTGCGCCCTGAGGAAACCATGGACTTTTATTTGTTGTGTTCGGTTTTTTTCTTACGACAACTGTAACTTGTTTTCATTTACATGGTTTGCGATGGCTCCACGTCTATTCGTAGGCTGCATATATATATATATATATATATATATGGGTGCAAAAGTAGATATA